TGGGGGGGGGGGTTTTAGACCATTTTCTCCTTATTCTTTTAAGGATGAGTTTTGGGTGTGATCAACAAACATTATGAAAACAACTTATGAGATCGAAAATTTATGTGCTATGTTCACTTAATGCAACATAGTTGAAAATTCAATTGATTGATGGTTAGATTTCGAATTCACTCGATATGTTTGTGCGGTCAAATAAGAGTTATTCATGGAAAATACTGCAATAGCCAATTGAAGGAAGTGGGAAAATATTCCTAAAGATGACTTCTGACAAGATGCCAACTCTCAACAACGTTTTTCATGTTCCTACTATTAGGAAAAACATAGTTTCTAATCACTTCTTGTTAAAAATGAATTTAAATATATATTTATTTCAGAAAAAAATTATAATTAATAAAAATTAAATGCTTGAAGCGAAGGGCTACCTCAAGAAGGGCCTTTTTAAACTCAAGTAACTATTGATAATATCAATAATAAATCAGTTTCTTCATACTTACTGAAGTCAAATAATTTGTGACATGATTGTTAGGACATGTCAATTATAAGATCAAGCAAAAACTGATTTGTTTAGAAGTTTATCTTACCTCTGAGAGCAATAAATAAAAATGTCAAACATGTGTGGAATCTAAGTACGCTAAGCATCTTTCAAAATCTATTGAAAAAAATTTCAATCTCTTAGAATTAATTGATATTTGTGATATGAATTAGTTAACATCATTTAGTGGTGTAAAAAGTATTTCATAACTTTTGGCAATTGCACAAGATTTAAGCAATATAAAACTGAAGTTAAAAATCAGTTGAATATAAGGATAGAAATGATAAGAAGTGACGGGTGGAGAATATGAATTTATTTTTGCACGGATATGTTTAGGGAATGAAGTTACCCATCAAACTAATGTCCCTTACATACCTCAATCCAATGGGTTGCAAAAATAAAAAATAGAACATTGAAGAAAATGATAAATGCCTTACTATTAATTCTGATTTAGCGTAAAATTTGTGGGGGGAAAGCTAACCCTACAATAAATCGATCACTCAATAGAGTGCCCCATAGAAAAATACAATTTATTTCATATAAGAAATGAAAATAAAGAAAATTCAACTAGAAATATTTCAAAGTGTAGGAGTGTCTAGCCAAATTTTAATACCTAAAATGATCAAAATTGGATCAAAGAAGAATTGCGTTTTTATTGAATGTACTACAAATAATAAAACATATCAATTTCTTATTCACAATTTTGAACATTCAAACATTTATGACAATATGCTATTTAAATCAGATAATACTGAGATTTTTGAACACATTTATCTATATAAAACTAAATTTGAATTGTCTAGTGAATAATCTAAACGACCTTGAGAAGAACCAAAGTAGAACGTACATACTTAATGAAGAGATTTCAAGGGATAATATATGTCAAAGAACATCTACTTTCTTCGAATAAAATTTTGTAACATTTCATTTTGAAAATTAGCCTTAAACATTCAAAGAAGTCATGCCTTCTATGGACTAATTCTTTTGAAATAGGTTGTCAACAGTGACATTGATTTATCCTTGAGCAACCATATTAGAGATTTGGTTGATTTTCCTCTAGAAAATAAACCTTTAGGTTCAAAATGACTTTTCAAAGCAATAATAAATGGTGATAAAAATTATTGACAAGGATGAGGTAAGACTTGTCATTAAAGGCTTTAGACAACAGAAAATTCTTGATTATTTCAATACATACTCATCAGTTACAAGAATTATATCAATTCAAATGCTTAATGCATTAACTGCGGTATATGGTCTTGAAATATATTAAGTGAATGTGAAAATAACTTTCTTAAATAAAAAAGTTGAGGAAAAAAATTGCATGGAACAACCTGGGGATTATGTGGTTCCTGATAGAGAAATAAAAGTATACAAATTTGTTAAGTCACTTTATGAATTAAAATAAGCAATCAAACAGTGACATGCAAAGTCTGACCAAATCATGTTAATAAATGAATTTAATATTAATGAGTGTGATAAATATGCTTACATTAAAGATGTTCCAAATGACAAAGTCATTGTTGGTTTATATGTTGATGACATGTTTATCATCAGTAGAGACATTTTTGACATAAGTGCTACTGGGTGAATGCTAGTAAGGAAATTTGATATGAAAGACCTTGGAGTTGCTAATGTGAACTTAGAAATAAGAATTCATAAAATTCCACAATATTTAGTATTGACATAATCTCATTACATTGAAAAGATACTTGACAAATTAAGTATTTTGAATTTCAATATTGTCTTGACACTAATAGATGCAAGCTTTGCACTTCATCAAAAGAATGAAGGTGAAAGTGACTCACAATTAGACTATGCAAAAGTGTTGAAAAGCTTGATGTCTATCGAGAATTGTAAGCATCAGACTTAATGTGTTATTAGTAAATTAAGTTGGTTCACAAGTAATTCTAGTCAAACTTATTGAATGACAATAAAAAGAGTTTTGGGAGATCAAAAAAATACTCAAAACTATGTTTTGTGTTATAACAAATATCAAACAATAATTGAAGAATATAGGAATGCAACTGGACCAAATGAAGTGAAATCCACAGTCTGTATGTATTTACTTTTGGTGGGGAGCAATCTCTGAAAAGTCATCCAACAAACATGTATCGCTCACTCTACAATGGAATCTAAATTTATCGCTTTAAATAAAATCGGTGAAGAAGTTGAATAACTCCAAATTTTCTTCAAAGATATTTCGTTTTGGCCTAAACTCTTTGACACCGGTATGCATACAATGTGATAGCCAAATTGCAATAGGTAAGACAAAGAACGTGATGTATAACGAAAAGTTTTATCATATAATAATAGAAACATAATATTATTAGAGAACTAATCTCTAATGAAATTATCACGACTGACTATGTGAAGTCAAAAGATAATGTGTCGGATTCACTTACAAAAAGTCTAAATAGAAAGGGAGTTGATAGATTATCAAAGAGAATGGGGCAAAGACCTAGATCAAGTCATCACAACGGTAACTCTACCTAGAAGACTGGAGATTCCAATAGCTAGGTTCAAAAGATCAAACAAAGTTCTGACTGATGATTTAACATTGTCAAATAACTCAATACATTCTCATGATAAAGATAATGTTCAGAAAACAATATATGGCTTAGCTTAAGGCTTGAAGCTTTTTACTGATTCCTTAAGTTTGACAGATGTGACCAAATAATTTATTTGTAGGATTAAATGTTTAGGAATTATCTAAGTGAGTATGAAGTGGACGTCGCTTAAAAATAGTAATAAAAGCCTATTCTCTAAGCTCTCATGAGACTTAGTGTTCATGGTTAGAACAAATAAAATCGTGAGAACCATACATAAAATAAGGCTAGTTGTGTGAGTTATATTGCCTAGGTGTACAACAAAATTTGAACACAAATGATAAATACCGGGTAATTTATGCACATCGATTAATTCCACCAGATACCTACCATCTTCCCACTAGCAATAGGTACTAGATAATTCTATCCACCAAAGATAGGACAAATGGGATAACTTCACCTAGTGTTTTGTCTCAATTAAGATTTGAACGGAAACTTCATAATTCTCTATCCACCTTATTAACCACTAAGCTACACTCAAAAGTGAGACAAACACTTTTTGCCATCACCTTCTGCACACCTCAACTATTCCACCGCGTATCTTCTACAAGAAGAGGTACTAGATAACTTGATGCAAACATAGGTTTAGAAAAATATAAAGAAACCAACTTGTATTTTTTGTCTATCCTAAAATTTGATCCTCGATATGCAAGATTTGCGCCCATTTCATTGACTAGTTACCCTTAAGGGTTGTTTAGCTAGTGAGATAAGAAATAACAAATCCAGAATAAAATGTGAAATTATTTTATACCCATTCAGTTATGAATTTTAATTAATCCCTTCAAAACTAAAATAATAGATTAGCTATCCCATATAGAGGTGGGATAAACTAATCTCATAGGTATATTTGTCTATCCGATCTCAATAATCAAATGACCTCTTCAAAAGTTGCCATATAAAGGTTATCATAACAAATATATCATTTCCTCTCCATTGTTCATCTCTCCAATAGGGTGAATCTTTATACCAGAATCCAGATATATGAAAATTCAAACAGCTTTTGCATTGTGTATCCTGTTTTTGACAAACCTTACCTTCCAGACTCCCAGTTCCTAAAATGAAATACTAAAGTGCAAGCTTAGTGAAATATGTATCTGCTCCTGTAAACATGACTAGTCCATAACATTATGGACTCACACATAACTTGATACAGTGAAGTTCATGCTCCCAATTAGTAGCAAGAACATGTAGATATAGCTATAAAGCAAAATGAATTGAATATGATATCTGAAACATGGATGACAACATATGAGAGATCAACAACATCATACCTAGTGAACCCCACAAAGTGGGGTTTTGGGAGGGTAGAGTGTACGCACACTTACAACTACCTCGTGGAGATACAGAGGTTGTTTCCGAAATTTACAACATATGAGAGATCATGAAGCAAAATTTACAATACCTAGCACTGAAGAACAACCATGTCAATGGACGTTTTACATGTTATCTAGATATGCACATAACATTTAGACATGTAATATATCTGATAGAATACCAGGTAAGTTAGAACAACATATAGTAGACGAAATCAAACTGATATCAAACGAGCAGAAAGAATGAAACTGTACACAACACACAAATTCACCAAATAAAGCTTCAACCTTCACAAATCTTTTAATCTACTTTGCCTCCAAGTTTAGTAAGATCTCATGTCATACGTTGCCAACAAGAGGATGACCCTTGGGGACTAAATGAAATCACCAAATTTCAGATGATTTCTGTCAATACAGGTGCAACATATCTGAGAAGAACAATGAACTGAAGATGGCACGAAAAATTGGATAAAGACATGCAAGAGATCATGAAGAAAAATTTACAATGACAAAACACAACCAAGTCGATGGATGTTTTCCATGTTATCCAGATTTGCACATACCATTTAGACATGTAATATCTGATAGAATACCAGGTGAGTGAGAACGACATATGACAGACATAATCAAAGTGCTATCAAACCAGTAAAATGAAAGACCTGAAACTGGAGCAAACACACAAATTCTCTTAATAATTCTTGAACATGCACATATCATTTTTTCTTCTTCGTCCCCCAGGATTAATAAGATCTCAAAATATATGTTGCCAATCAGAGAAGGACCCTTTTGGAGACCAAATCAAATCACCAAATACTCCCCTTCTAGATCTTGTCAAGCTTCTCTGCCTTAACAACAGGGTTGGCTTTTGCTATTGCATCCTGGCCAGCAGAGCGGTAATCAAACAGGCAGTCATGTTTATCTGAGTAGCGGTGTGCTCCACAATAAATGTTACCACAGCGACATTTGAATCCAGTGATGCCAACCTTTTTCTTACAAGTGCCACAGCGGTTAGGACCCACCTTAGCCTTTACATCGGGCATATCACTAGAACTCGAAGTTTGAGATGATGGCAAAGCTATAGACTGTGCTTCAATAGTATCAGGTTGCACATCTACGGGGTCAACAATAACCATTCCCTTCTCTCCGGCAGATGATCCATTGACAAGGTTTTCAATTGATGACACAGCAAGCTTAGCTTGTTCTTGTTTCAATACCATGTCTTTGTAACACTTGGAGCACATGTTCATGTTTGCAGCACTTCCGAAAAAGCCACAGTTGTTAATACACAAAATAGGACCTTCCGGAGGGGGTTGGCATCCCGTCTCATCATGCTCCATATTGTCAACACACCTGTACAAAACACAACAGAGATAACAGCATCAATACAAACCTACAAAAGAAACCTCATAAACCTGCTTCTCCTGAGAGAAGACAACAGCGAAACGAAAGAATATTCTTTGCTTCGGTTTGCTATAAACCATGTAACATTAGATAGACATGATATTGGCTGAGGAAGACTATTCAAGCTAATGAGCAAGTACCCAAAGGAAGTCATCCACACTGTAAACAAGCAAGAATTCATGAAGCGCTTCTTGGCAGTTAAAAGGAAACAAGATAAAGAAAATACATGTTTTCATCCGACAAAATAAACAGACCCATATTCAGCTAAAAGGAAAATGCACGAGTGCCAATATTTAACAGACTGCAAGTAATACATCACGTCTCCAATGGCGGAGCCAGAATTGTCACAAAGGGATTTCAAAATATGAAAAAGTAAACACATGAAGAAGCGGGGATTCAACATACAGTGTGATCTTTTGCCGAAGGGGTTACAGATGAACCCCTCACCCCTACCTAGCTCCGCCCCTGCACTCCATCCGAAATCAGTTAGGGTAGGTTATATGAATAACATATATCTATTCCCCTTTACTAAGGTAATATGAGCAAGATAATAAAAAATACCACTAACTAAAACAGGAACCAATAATTCAACGACACTACTCAGGCAACAAATTTTTTCACTTTTTCAGTAGTGAACTCTGGAAAACACGTTTCGCCATAAAATTTCGGGTTTTCAAGAATTTTAAAAAGAGAAAAACAACTCCAATTTATATTCATGCCCAAACACAACCCCAATTTTCAAATATAATTTTTCATTTCGAACACAAAAACTACTTTTTAAAAAAAATTCACAATGAAACATGCCCAAACAGCCACTAGATTTATGTGACCCTTTTGAGTTTTGACAAACTTTTAAGTTCACTATAAAACCAAAAATAAAAAACATGGATTTTGGTTCAAAACTTCAAACAATCTAACCAATTTTCGTACCACAGTAGTACATGAGGTCAAAACCCAAGGTAAAACAAAAAAAAAGTACTCAACTACCCATAAAGCTTCATCAACATAAAAAATTTGTACTAAGCATAACCTATACCATACACCCAAAATTCTTAAAATCAAGCCAAAAAAAATTAGACCACACAATAATTGAACAAAAAAATTACCCAATTCTTTAAGCAACGATAGATCCACAAACACAACAAAAAGATTTGTAATAAAAATTGTAAATCAGAAAAAATAATAAACAAAAAAAAAGAGGGAAAAGGGCTTTAAGAACTGACCAGATAAGAGTTTAAGATCGCCGAGGGGAGAGAGAGAGGGATTGTGTTTGTGGTGAATTGAATTATGGGAAATTGCGGAGTTGTTTTGTTCTTCTTTTTCTCTCTGTTTGCCAACGAAGGATACGTACTGATTAGGTGCATCGTGTTGGATGCCTATTTGTTATATGCTCGTGCATACTTTACGTGGCGTTTTTACTTTTTTAAATGTTTATTCCACTAACCCTTTTCCAAAAATATCATTCTTTTTCAAAATTATTTTTAAAAAATAAATTTTGGGGTTAAAGGGAATTTAATATTAAATTTGGGGTTACTAATTCACCTTGAAAAATTATAATAAAAACTAAATTTTGTTGAAAACGTTTTCTAAACCCTAAGAATCCTAAAACCTAATTCTGCTTTCGTCGATCATGGTTGCACCGGCCGTTGGCCAGCCTTCACAAGAGGAGGTTGAGTCAACTCCAGCAATAATCTAAACACCTACAATCACATACGCTAACAGTTTGAATTCATTTTCTGTAGCACAAGCATCAATGCAATTGAAACAAATAGCCTATTTGCATGGAGAATCGAGAATTGTTTTGGAGAAGAAGAGGTGGAGCAGATGATTATAAAAGAATATTTACAATATGTTGTTATTGGGAAATTCTCCGTTGGGTGGCCACAAATACAAGATCTAAGGAATTTAATCCCAAAACAATATGAGCTGAAGGGGGAGACAAATATTAGTTTACTAAGTATTCTAATAAGGGCATCAAAGTTAGAGGATTATGCTAGTCTACTGTCAAAGCCACAATTCTATAATACGGATAAACATTATTCTTATCCTATGAGAACTCTTAAGTGGGAATTAATCTAGAAGAAAAAACTATGACTGCCATTGCGTGGATCTCGTTTCCCTTGCTCCCACCAGTTTTTTTGGGTAGAGATGCGGTCTTTTCTCTTGCTGCAGTTGTAGGTAAATCTTTACACGTTGACATGACTATTATCAATAAGACACGCCCTAATTGTACTAGGGTCGAAGTGGAGGTTGATCTATTGGGGGAATTTCCAAAAGGATTAATGTGGAGGTCTCAAAGAAATTAGGAGAGATCATGGAATGCACAAGTGGATCCCAATAAAATACGATTACATGCCAAAGTATTGCAAGACATGTAACTTACAAGGTTATTATGAGAAAAAATGTTATGTTATCAACCCAGAATTATATCCTGAAGAAGACAAAAAGAAATAAAAAGGGTAGGGGGGGGGGAGGGAGGGGGAGAGAGAAAAAGACAATAATGGAGAGATGTATCAAAGGGCAAAGATGGACAAAGGCAAGCAGGTGATTAATAATGATTTTCAGGAACAAAGACGAATGAGGTATGAAAAAGGTAGACAACAACAGAAGGGACAAAAGGAACAAGTATGGAACCCAAATATGAAGCTCTAGAGAATCAGGAAGGGCAGGAATAAAAAAAGGAGATTAAGCGAAGAATGTCAGAGGAGGAAAATAACATAAAAGGAGAACAAGAAAGAGGAGAAAGAAAAAAAAAATACCTGGTAGTTCCAGTTCAAACAACACACCTAGTAAGAATAAAAATTCCAAGGAAGAAGACAATGGTCAACAAAGATCTAATACGATAGTAGAGAGAGAAAAAGAAGCTTAGAAGTTTGATGAAAGTGTGGGTGAATCAAAGCGCCAGGAAGACACAATATAAAGGGGGGATATGAGACATATGAGGGAGACTTGTTTGGCAAATAAGGAGGAGTAGGCAAGACTTGATACACATGAGGAAGACACCCCAAGATATGAGCATAGTATTCCTAAACTCAAAGATTTTACGGAAAAGGATATTCAACACAAAATGGAAACAGAGGAGGATGGGGACATCGAGTGTCAAGCCTCGAGGCTACCCCCTAGACGCAACACGGGACCTAGGATCACGAGTGACCCCAAGCTAACCCTGCTGGCATAATCATAAGCATACTAAAGATAAACCGAAACAATAATAACTAAGAGGAAGCTAAATCATGAAATAATCTGAAGATGATGGGGAATACACATATACTAAATCTGAATAAAGATAACTGAGAGTTTGAATACAAAAGAAAAGTCTAACTCGAAGACTAAAGATAAAACTAACTATGTCTGAAATGAAGCCTCTACTGACTAGAAATGTTGGGACATGCCCCAGCTAGATCTAGCAAAAATTGAAACTAAAACTAAAAGCGATAAAGATAGTCATGTCACTAGTCCTCGAAGAATGAGGACTCACCACTGATGTTGCTGAACTAAAGATCGGGAATCCCTGAACTATGAATGATCTGACTGCTGAGGACCTGAACCTACATCATGAGAAGATGTGGCGCAGAGTATGCGTCAGTACTTGAAGGGTACTAAGCATGTAGGATAGAGTAACACTGAACAATAACATAACTGAATCAAAGCATAAATCTGAGCAATGACATGAGATAAGCATGATACAAACTGAGAATACTGAACATGAAATATTGAATGCAATGACCAAGTTTATAACATGCTTAGACTGATTTCTGAACTATAATGATAACATGGTCAATGCAATAAAATCTGACTGAATTGTAAGGGAGCTACTAATAACTGACATAAAACCACATGAGCTTAATGTGCAGTCCGATGTATACATCCCATCTAAAGGACCCAATATACCCTGCCAGAGGTATAGAGGCATGCTGGCGTGATCACTAAAATGATTCCCACATAGGGGACTTACAACCTATGGGGCACGTAGTTCTGGGACTTGAGGGTGACTGACCCTAGTCCACTCGGTATTAAGCTTCCCATATGATTAAGTAATTAACATTTTATGACTGAAATGTTGTAATACTGGATAGCTCAAAACTGACATGCAAACTGAGAATGCAACATTAATATATTGATAATAATGCATTCGAAAACTGAGGCATGTTTATATGTAACTGAATTAACTGACCTAGCATGTGTAATTTATGAACTAAAAGAACTACATAGCTAGGGTTCTGAGTTTATGCATGAATCTAGGCAAAACAATACGATAACGTGATAATATGATTTGGATCATTTTAACAGCTGAAAACCCAACAATTCTAACATTCAAGAAACCCTAACTCTAGATAATATTAAGGAGATCAATATTCTGACTGAAATCTAAGGACCTAATGGGTGAAAGGAATCCATTAGTGAAATCCCACATAACTGGTGACGAATTCCACGGTGAAATCTTTTGATTTCGGGGCTGGAACTGATGGAACCTTGTTGTATTCTTGAACTAGGATTTGGTCGCCTCTTTCTTCTCTCTACGCTCTAAGTTTTTATGTTTTGATGAATGATTTGACTTAGGTAAGTTCTAGTTATGTTTTTAGGCTAAAACTGACCAAAACCACGTAGTTTAGGCTTTAAGCGACGTAGTTTAGGGGTCTAACACATAAGGAAAGGACCAAAAGACCCATGACTTAATTACTGTCAGGGTCACCGATGGACGGGACTGACGAACCGCCAATCGATTGACGGTCCGTGCTGGTCAATCGTCACTTGCGACTGGAGACTGAAATCATGGGGTTCGACCTACGGCCTTGGACCACAGACCATGGTCTGACCTACGGTCCGTAGGTCCTGGCGTGGGTCAGGATTTAGAGAGATTTTCGGGGCTGAGACTGGGGTGTTGATCCACGGACACGGGCCACGGTCCGTGACAGGACCTATGGTCCAAGGGTCCGGCCGTGGGTCAACACTTAGACAATTTTCTGGGGGTTTTCTGGGGAAGGTTGCAGATGCGAACCACGGACCACCAGCACGGGCCGTGGGTCACCCTATGGTCCGTGGGTGGCAACCGTGGGTTGCACCAGCAACTTCTGGAAATCTACATTGAGGTCTGTTTACGAATACAGGGTGTTATATTTATCTCCTCCTTGGGAACATTCGTCCTCGAATGAAGACTAAACTAGCTGAAAAGGAGGGAGAGAGCTGCAACCCCTACCACTAGACACTGGAAACTGATTCTGACTGAACTAAGTTCCACTAACATGCAAATACGCTAAAAATGCAAGTACAAACTGAAGGAACAAGATGCTAAGACTGAAGCTACGCATGAAAGACTGAAAAAAACTGAAGAGGAACTATTACCTCAAGCTGGAATGGAATCGGAAGGAAAGAGGTGAGGATACTTGGCCTTCATGGCTGCTTCTACTTCCTAAGTAGCTGCCTCTACGGACTGACTCCTCCACAAAACCTTGATTGAAGCGACTTCTTTGTTTCTCAACCTTTGAACTTGTCGATCAAGAATCTCAACTGGTACCTCTTCATAAGTGAGACTATCCTTCACAACCACACTTTCTAAAGGCACAATAGACGTTGGGTCACCCACACACTTCTTCAACAACGAAATGTGGAAAACCGGATGCACTGCTGCTAGTTATGTTGGCAACTCTAACTCATAAGCCACCTTACCAACCCTTTTCAAGATCTTGTAAGGGCCTACATATCTAGGACTGAGCTTCCCTTTCTTGCCAAATCTCATCACCCTTTTTATAGGCGACACTTTCAGGAAAACCCAATCATCAACTTGGAACTCTAGTTCCCTTCTCCTTACATCTGCATAAGACTTCTGGTGACTCTGGGCTGTCTTAAGTCTATATCTAATGAGTTACACCTTCTCCATAGCATTATGAACTGAATTTGGTCCTATCAAGGCTGCTTCACCTACTTCAAACCAACCAACTGCAGATCTACATCTACGCCCATACAGCGCCTCATAAGGGGCCATCTGAATGCTGGAATGGTAGCTATTATTGTAGGCAAACTCTATAAGAGGAAGGTTATCATCCTAACTACACTTGAAATCGATCACACAAGCTCTCAACATGTCCTCTAAGGTCTGAATGGTACGCTCTGCCTAACCATCCATCTGCGGAAGAAATGTTGTGCTAAGATTAAACTTAGTACTAAGACATTTCTGAAATGACTTCAAAAAATGAGAGGTAAACTGAGGACCTCTATCTGAGATGATAGATAAAAGAACCCCATGCAACCTAACTATCTCATTAATGTAAAGCTTGGCGTAGTAACAATCGCGTGCAGTAATATAACCCAACCGAATAGGTTGGGTCGAGTCCCAAGG